AAAGTTTTGCTGAAATAACCATTTGAATAAAAATTTAGTTGGATGTCGTCCAGAGACCGACATGTAACTACGCGTGCACGCACAAAATGCAAAAAAACCTACTAGTCTAGGTCTTTTCCGCGATTTTTTCCGTAGTCTCATCTGCATTCGAATGTCGTAATTTGAATATTTAAGTCGCATCGTGTCGGGGCGGGTTATTTTTTCGTGTTTCTGATGGTGCATTTCATTTAGCCATTTATGCTTATTCATAAATTAATACACGGAGCGAATATTTTGTGTTCCGTTACTCATTTTCTCGGCCGCGAAATTCTGGCAATTACGAAAGTTAGGTACAAGTACAACGTACAAGTAGAACGAGATTTTACCTTGCAAACTTGTGACTAAGGCTACTTGTCAATTTGAAGGACTACACGACCGAAGACATCGTTATAAGAGTTGTCGTGTCGCAGCCCTGGAATCTATCCAAGGTGCAAGGTTGGTGGATTAATAGACGTCAGAGGGTTGAAAGTCCCCTGAGAAGGATCATCGGTGAGCTTATGAGCAACCCCTTGGTTTCTTGAAACTCGCTTGGATGATTAATCGTGGCTCCCTAATTAGTTCAAAAATCGGGACACCGATTAACATAGTTGATTTTGGTGTCTAAAATTGGAGCAACACTGAAAGGATTTAGGATCTGACAACAAATGTTCGGAAATTGTTGCTGTATTTTTTAATTTAAAATACAAATTGCAGTTTAGTTAAATGTAAAACAGCTTTCTCACGTTATTAAACTGTACATACTTTGCAAATCCCGGAGGCTTACAAAATATATTTAAACAGTTAACGAACATTGAAAATATCGACACATTTTCGATGCCATTAAAAGTTTAATTATTAAAATCTAATTTTGGAAGTCTCGTAATGAAGCAAGTAATAATATATGAAGTAAATGAGAAAAATAATTTTTATACAGTTTAAAAATATCTTAGCTTAAAACTAGTCTCTACTTTAATTACTTTACTCAAATTAGTATCTACTTGAAAGAAAAAATATTTTAAGATAAGATAATTGAAAAGATTATATATATAACATTAAAACATAATTAATAGAATAACAATTAAAAGAATAAATTTTTTTGTAGTTTTCTTTGAGATCCGTTTATATATTGCCTACATATTGAAGATTGGAATACACATTGAAGACTAAAAAGATGTTACCTTCTATGAGGACTATCTTTGTGATAATCATGAATGATTTGTATTCATCCATACATCCATCCATCCATATCTAAAAAAGGCATATCTAAAGTCGATACTCGAATCTATCGAAGTTTATTGTTGTCGTTTTTCCGCGATGCCGATTGGTTCTCTCGCTGCGCTTACTTCATGAGCAGCTGTTATCGTATATTTTGACAGTGTGTATTAAGGAGTTAATAATGTAATAGTAATAGTATAATGTTAAAACAAAGCGCGCGTCTGTGATGTCTAGTATATGAAAAAATATATACGTATAAACAATAACTGTGACAGGTATCGTTTCGGCAACTAAATGCCGCGTAATATCGATTTTAGAAATAGAGATAGAGAGAAAGAGAGAGAAAAAGAGAAAGAGAGAGAAACGCATCCCGCATGTAACGACACTTGCCTCAGGTCGCGTAAATTGGTGGGATAATATATGTCCGAGGTACCACGGGAAGCGAACGGCAAAGGGTTATCGTGAAAGCAACGCAAACGAAATTACATTGCCGTGCGTTCGGTAAACCGACGAACCCTCGTAATAAAACGCGCGCGAAAGGAGCCGTTTCACATTTGCGCTTTAATTAAAAGTGTACCATGCTTTTTGTCAATTCACGCGCACGCACGAACGGAGTAAACATTACATATAGCTTTTCGCGAGACCCGTTCGTTCGATCGGTCGTTATTTTGCATTACTTTGTTTGGCAATTAAATAGTTACGCGCGGCCCTTTGTGTATTTATTAAAATATCCATGTCTCGTATCCCGTTAAATGTCTGAAAATACGTATCTTTATGTCATCTTTAAACATCAAATTACTCAATTAATTGTTGCGTTGGTGACGTTTAATTTTATTTATTTTATCAGTTATATTTTGTCAGTTAAATTAAATTTCATGTTACATATCTGATGGAATTCATATTATCCACACTCGATTTCACGATGCACCTAAAAGAATTTATAACAAATTTTTCGGCGAATTTTTGATCAACCTTTGTTTAGTAAAAAATGTCATAAAAATTTTCACTGCATTTTTATAACTTTTATTATATAAAGGATTTTATTTTTTAATATATAATTGAACATATAATAAAAATTTATATTTTTAATATTAAATATGCAACGTGGAGTTAAATTTTGTATATATTACATTATTTTCTAAATAAAATTTACTAAAAATTGTACAAAACTACAAACAAGTTTTTATACCAAGAAAAATATAATTTTCTTAAAATAATATCAATTTAACAAGCTCTTATCTAGAAAATTCCCAGCGTTGCCGACTGTAAAAAATTTTAACACACACAATGTTAAAACGGGAAAAATATTTATTTTACGAGTATTATACTTATACACATCTCATATTATGTTTGCTGCGCAAATAAAATTTATATTAAACAAAATATAAATATTTATTCCGTTGTATCTGCAACATGTATGTACGTAATATCTAACATTTTCTAGCATATCTAACGATAACTCGTAAAGTCTTAATTGGCAATTTGCTATTCTAAGAATGCGAATAATTGTCATTTTAAGTTCCGTCAAATTCTTCGGTTAGAAAGGTTTGATAAAAAAGTACACGAATATTCACATAAAGTAGTTTCGCGGATAACTGCCTCGCATATGCAGGTGTTCCTCGAATTCGTGTTCCACGTGGAATTAAATAAAATGAGCAAAGTAAAAGTGATATCCAAGCCTCTTTCTTCTCCATATGAACCGACCTGCCACAGTTTTGCATCCGCACTATCAAAGCACTTTGTGGTCGTCCACAATGCCGCAATTGTGTTCGTGCCGACCGCAAGCACGCGCTTCGCAAGTTACACGGTCTAATGTACACGATTTGGTAAGATTGTCGCTGGTTCGTCAAGAATAATTAATGAAAATTTATCAGTTCTCTCCCCTTTCGCCACAACCTTGTTCTCCAGGTCAGAGACACATCTCTTGCTAACGCGATTGACGCTAAAGCTTTTTATGCTTGTCGTAAATCTTGTGCCACAAATGTTCTTGCGAAATACATTAGCGCGTGCTGTGAGGGAGCTTTACGGGATATTGTTTGAGACATAGATGTACAAAGCCTCGTAACAGCTAATTCTTAAATTTTTATGATAAATTCTTCGCAAGCTTGTACGATTTTTTAAATTGAAGCATATCGAAAAAGCAATTATTTTGAAAAAATTAATGTTTTTTTTAATATCTTCTACGATGTTTTTGTTATTGTAGAATGTAGAATTGTAGAAAATCATTACCTAAAGAAATGCTTAATAATAGAACAATATTATTAAATAGAAAAGAAAGTATTATTATTATCACTGTAATAACAATAATACTTGCTTACTCATCATATTTTCTACATTTAATAAGTTTTGCTTTTTTTAAATTTTAATTTAAATTTCAATAAAGTTTAATTAAAGTTTTGTCATAATATATTTAACGTTGAATATATTAAAATATTCAAAAACGTGATAGCTTTGTTTTTCAATAATCGGCAAAATCGATTCGTTTATAGAAAATTTTATCCGTGAAAAAAAAGTTTGGAATTCCAGAATATTTAGTGTATCATATCTTTTGGTTGACCTATCGTGACTTACAATTAGTAGTTGGTACATAATAATTATCATCTTTAACGAATTAAAATATAGAGACCGCATCTGGTTTTTTTTTAATTTGTAAAGTATTTATTAAGCATTGATTATATTAATTCCACTTTTTATAAAAAGCGATACACTTTCTTACGCATTAAATTATTATTTAAATATTCATGCAAGGTATTATTTGATCAAAATAATTTATTTCCATTCAGCGTTATTAAAAGAAATGGTGCATAAAATCGACTAATACGCTTGCAGCCGGAAGTGGCGCGGTAATTCATTATCGATTAATCATTGGAACACCGACGAATGTAGCATTATATCCGCACTGCCATTAATATCGATATCAGCTTTCGCGATTAACGCCGATTCGCGACGGATTAAACTCGATTCATCCGCGCGGAATCGGCATTTCATGGGAAAGTAATTTACTCGACAAGAGAACGTCACGAAAAGAACTGAAACAAATTTTCTGCTTTTCTCAAGTTTTCTTTTTTTTTTTTAATTTCACAAAAGAAAAAGCGTGTTTATTAGATTCGCTGAAAATCAAACCTTTATAATACAAGTATGTCATAGATTGCTTAATCGCTCTAATTTAATAAATTCAATCTTTCGTGTAGATCCTTTTCTAAAAAGGAGATGTGAAGTTTATTGTTGCCGCTTTTCCGCGATGCCGATTGGTTTCCTTGCTGCGCTTACTTCATTTGCAGCTGTTATTGTATATTTTGACAGTTGTGTATAATAGGGTTAATAGTGAAATGTTAAAGATAAATAGCGCGCGCGTAGCACGCGTCTGTAGTGTCTAGTATTATAAAATATATCTTACGTCAGTTATTAACAATTATGTCGATCGTCGCGAGAGAGAGTAAACATCAAAATTATCTACATTTGCAGTATTGAAATCTGCTTCTACGAGATAACATCGGTTTCAAAGAAGTTTTCCCCCATCTCTGTGTGTGTCGTGCATCAATTTCACGCAAACGACAGAAATCGAATGCACCCTGCGCAACTTTAAGGCGCCGCAAGCTGCCAAATATCTGGCAGCGTTTTCCTCGGCGACATGAGTCGCCAGAAGAAACCCTCTCTCTCTCGGAGGGTTGGGCGACGCGGCGGTGTGTTCGCTTGGGTGTTTCGAGGCCGCGTAGTAGGGAGCTTGCGCCTAGCCAGGCCGACTGGCTCGAGCTTGCGAGCTTTCTAGCAGCAGCCAGTCGCCGGCTGCCGGGCCACGACCTCGCATCAACCCGGCTGCTCGTTCGCTTGGTTCAATACTGCGCGACAGAGAGAGCTTTCACAGCCACGTTTCGGCAAATCTTTCGAGTTTGCGCCCGAGTTTTTGACAGACTACGTCTTCTACTGCAATCTTCGTCTATTCATGAAAATGTCACGAGAAGGGACGAGTTCCACGAAGTTTTGAAAACTATGTAAAAATTCTCAACCGTCCGCGAGCTTTCTCATGCAAAGTGTCCAATTATTGCAAGCTTTTACAGCCGTATTCGTTACATTAAACGTGAGTTCTTCGACTGACTTGTTTGACTTTCTCATTAATTTGTTTGCAATAATTATATTCCGTACATCCGCGAGGTGAATATTTCCGTGGTGCGCGGACTTGGTCGGGGTTCAGGTGCAAGCTTCAAGCGCGGAATTCGGACGTGTAAGAATTTGTGTCAGGAATTGTGGTACCGAAGGTTGAAGGTTGAAGGTCGAGGTCGGGGGTGAGAATTACATCGTGCGAAACAAGTGACGCCCATCGGTTGTTTTTCCGAGGAACAGCGGAGTATGGCGGATGGGTGACAGACGCGGATCCACTGCAGGCTGAAGGTGTTTTTCAGCATCGGTGGGACCATGTGAGGCTTCGACCATGAGGGTAAGCGTGTGATTATGAAGCTATTTTACATACTTATATATACGACAACCGTTTGATAATTTCCATTTTTCAAGTTCTTTTTTTCTCACAATACTTTTGTATGATTTAGAACAAATGCGATTTAAGAAGTGTCTTACTCTGCAAAAACATTTATATCGAAAAATCAGATTTTATAAATCGCGACACGAATCAATCAGTATTACATGAAAAATATTGTGAATTGTGTTGCAGTTAGAAAGATTTAAATTGAAATATGAATTTTGTAACTATTTCCGCCAACTGTTCGAAACTTGCAAAGAATTTATCATCAAATTTTATGTAAATATAAACTTACTTTGTCATAAATTGTGATTGTGGGTAGTTATAACAATTATGTCATTATAACTTATATAAAAAGTTTTGTTTATGTTGCAAACAAAAAATTTCTTTGCGTATAGTTTAGATCCAACAGTTATCTACGTTAAATATTTACCTACAAAATATTTTTTTAAATAATAATTTTTGCTAATATTTAAAATTAATTAAATAATTGTGTTAGACAACGTTAATAAATAATTATTTTCAAAATTACTACAGGGCATGTAATAATTTCAATTTTAATTATAGCTCTTCCAGCATGGAAGTTATTTAATGGTTGAATTATTTAAATTCTTTTTAATGTAATTTTATATTTATAAAAATTCTTGCTATCTTCTTTGCAAACATAAATTAAAAATATTTAGATATATTGTACAATATATGGAGATATATAAAGTTGTACGGTTTTTAATTGCTAAATAAATTAAAGAAAAAATAAATGAGTTGAATGTGTGAATTTCTGTTTTATCTAAAAGGATATTATAATTGCGAAATAAATGAACATAATTATTCGCTTTTATTCGTTTACTTTTATTTAATATTAAAAACAGTATGAAAATTTTCCTGGAATACACAGAGAAAATTATCAGAAGTTATAATAACGATTTCCATTGAACGAGCACATGGTATACCTAATATAGCTTTTCACCTCCTCGGAACAGCTTCAATTATTTCATGCTAACTAATCTCTGTAATTGATTAACTGAAAGCAATTCAGTATAGTGAATTATTTCAGTTGAAATTTATACTAGTGTGGGTAACCGACATACTTTGATATGCATCTGCTATATGTTGTCCATTTTCGGTTCGCATATTACATATCATTTACGAAAGAAAAAATAATACGTAAAAAATACTCTTCCACAAACTTTACTTCATGATAAAATATATCTTTATAAAAAATTTAAATTGTTAACAGACCTTTATTGCCCAAATAATTTCGCGTCCGGTCACCTAGAAGATTTATTCCAGGAACCTAAGTAATATACCAATCTTTAACTGCCTTTACGGAATAATTTAATGCCAAATAAAACGCGTTCGAATGCGACAAAACTTGTAATAAGGAATGATTTAAGTGACAACAGATTAAAGTCATCTGGGGAATTACAGTGGGTTAGTTCTCCGCTGCTGTCGACCCCGTAACACCAACGCCATAATACCCCTGGGCGAATTTTCATCCATAGTAGTTGAAGCGCAGCGTGGCATAACTTCTACCAACTTAGCCGAGTCAAATTGGGAAGTGTCCTAGGCTACGGTACTTCGAAATGGCTTAATCGATGATGTTCAAATTTTGTATTGTCTTAACTATCACAGCTGAAATAATTATCTCTCCTAACTTGAATTGCATGCGCAATAAAATCTTCAATGTTATACGTAAATTTTTATCTCATTTTCTAGATTCAATAGAATATTTTAATGATTTTTTTGTGCTACATTAATGCATGTTAAAAATTAATATAAAATATACATTTATAGAAAATTTAATTATATCTTATTTAATTTACATATTATAAATTTGGGAATTGAAAGTTAAAAAATCTACATTCTTTTAGATATAACAAAATTCAATGTAATATTTATTAGCTTCCTTTATTGTCGTACTTCGAAAAGAGCGATAACAAATCGCTCTAAAATTTAGAGAGGTCCCTAAGTACATCGTCTCCGAGATGCTGAACTACTATTCGAGCTTATTAAAAGATGCATACCATGATAAACTCGGGAACTCGTCGCCATACTAGGCAAGTTCGGTCACAAACTTCGGTGGTAAATTTTATTTGCACGGCTAACACGTCGGTACTTGCCGAAGATTTTCCCCTTGATAGTTTCGGGCACAGGTTGAAAAAAAAATTGCTCGAGAGACACTCACAACGTACTTCACTTTAAGCTCCAGTTGACGCGAGAAATTTCGAAAAGTTCGGGACAGGTGTCGACGGAACATTCTCCGAGATAAATTACGCGTCTTGTCTGACAAAAAAATTCTGTTTTAAAACTTTAAGCGATGAATTGAGCCTGTAAGTATCTGGTTTCGCGTTGCAAACATCGTCCTTGTAAAGTAATTTTCCCGTAATCACAATCTCGTTTTAATTGAGACTATTCAAAATTAAAATAAGAGCAAAGTCTCGCGTTTCTGATGATCCGTGAATGCAAAAATGACGTGGAAAATGGAAGATGCGCCGGTAAGAAGCCGCCAATTAAGAACATAATCAGCAACTGCTCTCAGACTTCGGTAAATGCTGGAATCTGCGAGCCTTCCTTGTGTTTCAAGCTTGATATTTATATTAGCAATGCAAATTGGAATCGGATGCGGCTAGCGCTGCAAACAACAACCAACGGAGTACGGCCACACAACATTCTGCGAGCGTTTACATAAAAGTAAAATTAGTGAACATATAAATATAGTTTACATCTGTATACCTTTTTTCTTTCAAGCGTAATAAAGTTGCAATTTTATAAAAGTAATTTTGATGTAGAATTACATGAAACTCGAGCTTTAAACACACGAGTGAAAATTACATTCCTTTGACTTCAAATGAAATACAGTTCCGTTGATATAGTTTTTCTAAAGTAAATTATTTGTTAACGTAAAATATAAAACACTTCAAGCCGCTGAAAAACACAGACAATATGCGTTTACGATAAAGTATATATATCACTGAGCAATGCAATACTATTTGCATAGTAAAATTTCAAAAACTTTTCTCGCTTCCAACAACAAATATTTCTCCTAGCGAGTTAATCATAAGTGAAACAAGGCGTGTTTAACTTTCTAAAATAGTTAGGATATTTCATAACGATAGTATGTTATTTCTTATTCTGGAAATTCTGGAGATTCGTTTTAGGAGCCTTTTTATGATTTTAGATGAATTTCTTTAGACATAAATTTAATATGCGCGGATTGCGTAAAGCTATGCATCATTAACATATTTTGTTGGACATGAAAAATGTTTATATCTTTTATTGAGAAAGTTATGCATCTTTTTACCATCAAAGTAAACTGGACTAGCTAGCTTTAGTTTATATAATTTTAATTTAAAACTATGCTTTTAATTAAATCAACATTTAAATAGTTTAGAAGTGGTAAGTCTAAATACGAAGATGTGTTAGAAGAGATACAATATCAGACCGTAATGTATTCCGGTTCATTAAAGTAAAATTGAAAATGTTTAAATTAAATTACGTCACTTTTAATATAACTTTAATTCACTTTAATCTTAATCTATTTTCTATAATTAATTTTAATACAGAAACATATAATATATCTAGCGTACATTAATATACAATTACGTACATAAAACTAAACTCAGCAAAATTTTCATTTGATATAACAACTGTTTTCATACAGAAATCTGTTACAATCGCGTAACAAGTGTAATGAATACTTCAGTAATTGAATTAACGGGATTTTCATTTTCGATAGATTCTGTGCAATCCATTTACAGTTGTAGATATTAAATGGTTTTATTGTAATAATAATACATCGCAGTGTGTTGGAAACAAATTGCGTTACTCGAAAGATGTGAAAAGTATTTTTGTGAAAGATATTTTTGATGAAGATAAATTTAAATGTTAGACATAGCTCGGTTAATTACTGGAACTCGTAATTGATTAATTGAGCAAAAAATTTAACAAACGACTCGATTGGACATGATATAAATGCATATACGTATGCTATATTATCGTATATATGAACATTTATGAGATAATTGGACAAAGTACAGATAAAGAATAGCTATGTATTAGCCAGCATATGATATGTCAGGTTGTTATTACATTATTTATATGTCTAAATTGCCTATCTATTAATTGCAATTTTTATATCTAGCATAAAAAAGCATTTCGATGAAGACAAAAATTTCATGATACAAGCAGTATGAGATAATTTTGACAACCTGAAAAACATTTTTTCGTATGATATTTAGGTTTCTAAAAGTTTCCATTTCCATATACTGAGAATTTATATTAATATAATTATTTCATATGATGAATGCACACCGAAACAAATGATCAAAAGATTTTCATTTTATGATATCAGCGAATAACGCTTTTAACGTAGCTATTGCTACATGACTCGTTATCTATCGATGCATTTAATTATTGGCAAAAATTTTAATAACGAGTGCTGTAAAATTTATAACATATATCGTAGAGCGCGCATAATCAGTACAGTAAACAATTTCCGTAATCGGATAAATATTTCTCCTTCCACATACGTTTTTTAATAATTTTGAATGTTAGTTGAAAATCTCAGAAATAAACGAATAAGATAATTTGTGAATATTTGATAGAAAAATTAACATAAAAATCTGGCAACGATATAAGAGCGTATGATAATAAAAAATTTTCGGTGAAACATAAATTCAATAAAATAAGTATCTGTATAACAAATATAAAAGTTTTTAATAGCCTAATCGACAAGAGAGGATTACGATATCTCCTGGATCGCCGAGAATACTGCCGAGTGAGCGCTCGATTCATACGATACCGGCGGCCGTCTAATTATGTATTCCCTCGTTGATCGAAATCCCCGTTTTCCATCCGAGCGACCATACTCGCGCCGCCCGTCGAGACACACTTCAATGGTATCCGCACCGGTTCAAGCGGAACATCTTGTATCGCTCGTCCATAAATCGCCAACGGCGCGC